GTGTGTCAATTTTTTCAAAGACCTGCCCGCGTCGTGAGAGCCCGAAGGCGATGACAAAATTGGCGGGGATATTTGTAACTGGGAATGACTTGTTGTCACACGCAACGTAATATTACCGTAATTGGTATAGTACAGGTGTGATGGTTCAAATATCAAAATGGCAACAGTAACAGAAAGACTTCCCTGGCGGCGATGATACAATACCGGAGCCAACAGATGAGGTTTCAACTGGTACTGGTATCATTATACTCTGCAAACATCAAGTACAATAACGCGATAAAACTCCACTACTCCAATAACTAGATACTTAAACTCCAATACAATTCAACGAGATCTCCGATCTGAACTCAGTGCTGAACAACTCCCCTATATATACCCGCACTGTCTATAAATAGACCATTACATCAGCATACATAATGAGTCTGGAACTTACTACCAATTTCTAGAATGTTCCATTACTTTCTATTGCCTCCTACAGTGTTCTATTACCTATTCAACCAGTTTCTAAACAAAATCTAGAATACTCCACCCAGACACAGCACGGCTCCAGAACACTCTCAGTGACACGGAAGTGGCACACAAGTCGTATGCGACACTTGTCTTTGGCCAATAATTTCGCCATGTCATCAGAGGCTCGGTGAAGTGTTTCAGTCACAGTTACCAAACAAGATCAACGATGATCCGACTTTTCCCGATACCTTGTTTTCCATACGCGGGGTTGAAGGTCGGGTGAAAGTTTTAGCTCCGTTGCAACTCAACGGCGGTTTACTTTTTAGTTCCGTTGCGCGGAAACGGTGGTGTACTTTTTAACAGCTTTTAAAATACCTATTTAAAAAAGCTGATTTTATTTTTCTATTCTTTTATTTTTCTATTCTTTCTTTTATTTTTTTAATTATTGTTCTATGTTTTTATTTATCCTACGTTTTTATTTATTGTTTATTTATTTATTTATCTATATATTTCAATTGTTGCCCTAATGGCACACCATACTTGTTTGACCAGCAAACATAACGACATTCGTTCGGTGAAATACTGAAAAACCATATTGAGCACTCGCCTCGGATTTACACGTACGAATGAATAATGACGTTTGAATCCAAGGCTGTATTTGTATTTTACAATAAACCATGCTCTAACGCTCGTAGCGATAGTCATTGCGCCCTCGACGATGAATTCCAGGGACCAAACTGCAAATGAAAAAAAAAATTATGTATTTTATACATGCCATATCATAGCTATATCGACAAACCCACGTTGTTGTTGTTTTAAGATTTGATAAAAATGGAAAATCATATTTGTTAAGCTCCGTGATCAGAGTTCAGATTTTGATCAGATCTTGTCCATTGCCTTCCAAATTATTAACTCGTTTTATTAAAGGCTATGTCCGATTTTATAACACCATGAACAAACAAGTCAATCACTACTGAACCTTCGAACAGTACACAAGCCCCATAATTCCCCTCAACTGACTTTCCACCAAATTACTTGTCCACATGTCTCTTTGATAGTATTAGTATATTCCAATTCGTGTATGCTGCCCTCAACGATATTAATGGTTTCAAATTTAAATCACAGCAGCGTGATGGCGCTGTCTAGATTTTCGTGTCTGTGATTTTAACGTGCATGATTGTGATGGTGATTTAAACATTTTAAATTTATGATAAATCATGCGAATTGGTCTACATGTGTTCGTTCATATGGCACACTTTAAGGTAGTTTGCTACCATTAATAAAATACCCAGAAATCCTTGAAATCCAGCAAGAGTTGGGTTACTGTAATGTTCAAAATAGAACATATGATACCGAAAAAACTGAACCAAAATGCGTTCTTTGAATACTTTTAAAATATTTACTGTGATATTTTTTTAATGTTGTAATGTTAGCGAACTACCTTACGCCCACGTGTGTCGATCATTAACATTGTTCATTGTAATTTTGGCATGCGTGACTGCAATTTTAGCATGCTCA